AATCATTACAGAAATCAGGTAGGGAACATAAGAAAAACAGGGATTGGGGAAGACTGTGGAGCTTGGAAACTTTGAGAGCCAATGCTCCTTTACGAGGAGCATCAGCTCCTTTACATTAGCTCTAGTTGATGATTGCCATGTGGGACTTTGGGCAAAGCATTATCATATTCTTTGATTTTTCAAATGATATGGGAAGTCTGTATTTTTATGTGTAATCTGAATGTTAAATGCTGACAGTCCCACATGAAGGTCAACATTACATGGGTCAAGCAAAATACGTCCACACTAGCACACATTGCTCCCTTTGGACATAGCACACAGGCCTTCCTTTGGACTTCTGGTAGAAGTCCAACCCAGGGTTTCACAAAGAGATGTTGACAGACCAACTGCAACAAAATCTCCTGCAACAGAATTCCCATGTGATGTGTTTCCTGCACCCCATTTCAAGCCTACTGATTCAGAAACTCTATGGATCCACCCAGGAATCTGATGTTTTTTAACAAGAAGTTTCTTATGTAATTTCAAGTTTGATATCCAAGAATATAGCTACTTTTTAACAGCTACATAACCATAATTGAATTCCAAAGTATAAGAGTATCATCCTTTGTTAAAGCCATTTTCTTATTGGTGGGTATTGAAGTTGCTTCCAGATTTTTCTCTCTATAAATAATACTTCAATAAACATCCTTATGCACCATTGCTTTTATTTTTGTAGGATAGATTTCCCAAATCAAGATCATTGGGTCTAATTTTAGGGTCTAGTAGATATTGTACAAACTTATTTTAAGAAGTTATGAAAGTCACATTCCAACCAGCAATATATGTGACTGCCCTTACCCTAACACCCAAATCTCCAGCTATGAGAAAACTCTTTTCCAACTTGATGCGTTAAACACAATTTTTATTTTTTAAATATATAACCCTGGCTTCTAGTGCAGTTAGAATTTTTTTCTCACATGTTCATAAGCTGTTTGCAATTCCTCTGCTGGAGGGAGTTTATAGATATTCACCAGCTGACAATGACAGTGTTGGGAGTGGGAGAGGAAACACCTTCTACACAGTGTCAGTTTCTTTGATACCCCTATCTTCTTATTAGGCTCCACTCTTCTCTCAGATTCCTGCTTCCCTTCCTACAGAGAGCCCACTAAAGCCACTAATTATCTTTCACCGTTCTGTTAGGGCTCTAAGTTTTCCTTCAGAATTATTTTCAGTTGTTCATTTCCTTTGCCAATTTTACTCTTTAATTGTCTATCTTTTCCTTATCTATTGGATGTATTTCTGTACAAGCTAGGTCATTAACAATTTGCCATATACAGTATTTTTTTTTTTTTTGGACCGGTAAGGGAATCGTGCAGACAGCACCAAGCCTCAGCCAGTGAGCGCACTGGGCCATCCCCGAATAGGATCCGAACCCGTGGTCTGTGCACTACCAGCACTACACTCTCCCGAGTGAGCCACAGGGCCGGCCCCATATATAGTATTTTAATAAAAGAAATTATAAAAGTTACTATTTTACTTAATAATCTACCCAATTTTGAGCATATTTCATTTGATTTTAATCATATTAACCATTTACAACAAGCAGTACTATGTGAAGTTTGTTTCCTTTTTAACTGCTTCTAGAAATTCACTTTATTTAACAACATGCATTTTCACTGTAATGCCATAATAAATTAACTGCAGAAAAGCCACTAATGAATACTATTTTACCTTATTAAATAACAGCAAAGGAACTATAAAGATTTAAATAGCTTTATATGCAAGTTAAAAACATTCCAAACTAAAAAATGGACTTTTTGAGGGGAAGTGGGGTTCTCTCTCAAGATGCTCCTGTTTCAAAACCCAATTTGGATTTCAAAATACAAGTAAATAAATGTCAAAGCCTCTTGGCCTCTGCTCTGCCATTCTATGCCTGAAATCCTGCCAAGATGAAATTTTCCATTCAGAAAGGACTGGCATTTACTAAGCTGATTTTTAAAAGGCATTCTCAAAAGTAGTGGAAACTTTGTGCAACTTTTGACGTTCCTCTCTTGTGGATAGAACAGCTGCCTCTGTAGACAATTTCCACGACCATAACATTTTCTGAAAAACAAATTTTCAGCCCTCCCGATGTCTTCAGCCACTGGTCTATTGGTTTTTCCCAGTGCCAACCATAGAAGATAAACAAACTAGAAGCGAGTGTCTCACTGAACATCAAGGCACAGAAAGGACAGAAGAGAAAGTGTCTCACTAAGTATCGAGGCAGAGAAAAGACAAGAAAAAGGGGGAGAGAGAAAGGAGCGTGGATGAGGAACACTTTCATCTCAAAATTTCAGGCTGTTTCAGCAAAACTGAGTTGTAGCGAGACTGGCTGCTTATTCACATAACATCATCCCATTGCTGGGAAGATCAAATAGTTAAAAGATATGAATTCGTTTGAAGAATTCAAAAGGGAAAATACGGAGCCCCCATAATATGTATTAAAATCGGAGTCTAAGCGCGCAGATCCTGCCTGCCAGTTCACCCTTGGGAGGGAGAAGGGACTCGGGAGCGTGTGGGGGCCTGTGAAGCAGAAAGGTCCATGGAAATGGAAACTGAAACTGCCAGCCAGCGCAAAAATGCAGTATCTCTAAAGATGCTTTAAAAAACTAACCACAAACCTTAGAATAAATCAAAAGTAAAAATGAAAATAACAGAAAGTTAAGTGAGAAAACTGAAATCCATCTACAATCGAATTGTTTGCACTTTTAAAAACAGTGACTTGAAGCAGCAAGCAAAAGTGCCAAGTCCTTTCTTAAGGCTTTCTCCCCGTTCTTAAAACTCTTCTTTTTCTTTTGTGTAGCTTTTCTACTAAGCAGTGCACCCAGGATTTATCCCCATGCAAGCCTTCCTTTAACTTCGGACATAATTTCTTTCCTTTCTTGTTATTGCTCCCAGACCCAAAGCTCCTTTTTCTCATCTAGTATTTGTTTCAGGGACGGGACAAAGAGAAAGCAGCGAGGCAGAAAAAAGTTTTGTGGTTTGGGAAACTTGGGCCTTTGTTGTGTCATTTCCCCTGCCCCTCCACGCCCCCAACCACGTGACCCAGAAAGGCCGGAATTTTGTGAATGGAGCTGAAAAGTAGCTGCGGAGGCGGGCGGGCTCCGCCCCCTCCCCTGAAGCGGCCAATCTCCAGGCGGAGCGCTGCGGGGTCAGCAATAAACAACAATGAGCTGGGAATTTACGGTTCGTTATTGGCTGAGGGAAGAACCTCGCTGGGGCCTAACTCAAAGCTCCGCCCTTTCGTGGTTACCCTGGATACCCGTCAGCTCCGGCCGCAGAGAAAGTCTTTGGAAACTGTTGCTCAGATTACTGGGATTGGGCTGTCCCGGGACTGCAAGGTGGTGGGATACCCTTGTTACTGACCCCCCGCTTGGATGCACCCTCAGAAAGTACCCGAGAGCCTCACTGTTCCAGCCGTGAGGCCCGGCCTGCGCCCGGAAACCCTCCTTGGCCGGGCTTAAAATGCAGTTCCCGCTCAAAAATGCTTGTAGGCGCGCGCTTTGTAAACTCTGATTTGCTAGTTTGAGGGAATGCACGGTGTGTGTTCTTGCTGTCCACAGTAATTGGTTGTTTCCCCAGTAATAAATGTTTTGTTTGTTTTTTGTTTTTGACATAGACTTTTCCCCTCCTTAGAGGGTCCAGAGTTGAGCCTTGTGCGCCCAAACTCCACTTTAACCCATCGCCATAATGTTCCATTTAAGGAAGTAAAGTTTAAAATAGAAATTGAAAACTGTAGAGCGTTTCCCAGTGGGCGGAACAGCTGCCGGAAACGTCCTTTGGTCACCAGCTCTGGTCGCCACCAGGATCACAAGTGAATTTCCACACCATTGAACTCCGGGTTCCATCCCCGCGGCCTCCCTTCCCTTGTTGGACCGTGGCTTCCTAAGTGACGGTTTACGGCTTCAAGCTCCAAAGGAGGGTCAGGGCAAGTGGCTTCAAATATGCAGCCCTCACTTATTAACGTCCTAGTTATTGTCCTTGAAACCCGAGCCCTCTCACCGCTCGCCCCCAACTCCGGGCTGTGGCTGTTTAAAAGCTCGAGAGGAAGTGAAAGCGTCAAGTACAGTAAGTGACACCCTCCGCCTCCGTGTATACATAACAAAAGCTCAGGAAACGTGCGGGTCCCTAGGATATCCGAGCTACCCCGTCCCCTCCCTGCTCCTCCCACCTCCACAGTGGAGTGGAACTACCTTTTCCCAGTGCACACGTAGAGACAAATCTGATCTTTATACTTTTCCTCACCTAGATTGCTCTTTAGTCCTCCCAGTTCTCTCTCCCAAAGCAACCCCTCCTATTAGCAATTCTGCGGCAAGATTCTTCCAGGTGCTTTCCTCATAGATGCTTTATTTTTCCGTTCCTTGAACGATAAGATCTAATTTTAGTTGAAGATAGTGGTTAAAAAAAAAAATGTTTCGATAAATCATAATGGTGGTGGTGGGTGCTGAAAAACAAGAAAAAAACCTTGGCCAAACGCTTAGGGGGAACGAGCTTAGAGAGCGCGGTGGGCTCCTTGTCAGGTCAAGAGTAGAGGGGGTTGGAGAGCTTGGGGGGCAGGAGGGAAGGAGGCACGGACTTGGCGGACCGCGCTTCAGAGTATATACCTGAGCCGCACAACAGTGCCATAAGGAAATCAGCCCAGTAGTGTACCAACCACACCAGTAATGAGAACTGGTGACTCCATACACATGGTTTCAGTATCCCCAGGCGCCTTAACAATAAACAGCGAGTTAGGAAGGAAGTCGATTTCCTCCGTGGCGTTTCCAGGCTGCGGACCTAGCGCCTGCAGACCGAGCACCGCTTGGGCAGAGGGGCGCGGGAGACCCTCGGGCAGGGGCAACAAGCCGCCTGATTGACAGCCAGAAATCTGATCTTGTGAAAGAGACGCGGAGCCAATGGGAGGCAGCGATCCATCAGTTTGGATTGGAGGCCCCTGGAGGAGAAGTAGAGGAAAAACCACCGAATTGAGCTCTGTCAGAGGCGCTTTCGGCTTCCAAGGGGGAAGTGCTGGGCAGTAATTAATGTTTTTATTAAATTTGGAGGGAATTTTTTGCAGCTGTTCGCCTAGCGTGGCCTTCAGGTGGGTCTTTCCAACAACTTTTTATGTCTCTCCAGATAATTGCATGGTTGTAGGTTGCAAAAACTACCCTTATGAAAGCGGTGTCTCCGTCTCTTTAGTCCCGTTAGGTGCAAAGCGAGTCTCGTTGATCGCCATTGCTAGTTTTGCACACGTTTGCGAATCAGAGCTGCCTGGGGTACACCGACCGCGCAGGGAAACATCGAGAGTGTAAATAAATACATCGCCTCTTGTTCGGATTTTTGCTACTACCGAAAATATGTAAATTGTGAACTCTCTTGGCTCTCTTTGGATCCAGGTGAAGGAGGCGGTGTAGGGAGGGTTATTTTTGTGAATGGGACTGTCGGAGGGTAATTAGCTATGCAAATTCAAGAGCTTCATTCATGATTTTTTTTTTTTAAACCTAAAAGCCATCTTGTTCCCCTCTAGGTTGATAGAAGTCCAGATCGCGAGGAAATCTCCAGCTAGATGCTCAAAATATAAAATACTGAGCTGAGATTTGCGAAGAGCAGCAGAATGGATGGATTTTATGACCAGCAAGTGCCTTACATGGTCACCAATGTGAGTGATCAGTTCGAAAGTTGCTGTTTATAAACTTGACTCCGGCGGGGGGTGGGGAGAGGGAGAAAATGGAAAGGGAGGGGGCAAGGGGGTTGGGATTGCAGATACTTTATCTGCTTTGTTGCCACTGTAGGGCGACTCTGCTTCTAGAAGCCCAATCTTCAAAATGAGCTTACCTTTCAGTGATTTGGATAAGGCATAGTTTTGTTTTTAAGACCCCTTTTTCTGATTAAAGTGCCCAAGATGAGTGGAAGAGGAGATGGAGGGCAGCAGCAGCTGCTGCACTCAAAGTTTTTGGCTGGGTTTGTCTGCCACATTGAAAAGAATGAAGTTGAGACAAATGCTGACACTTTTTGTTTACATGGGGTGTTTTTGTTTCTTTTTCTCCCCTAATTTTCTCTCTTCTTTTGTTTATTTCTCCACTCTCTTTATGCTTTTGGGGGAGGGGGGAAGGGGACTGCCTGAGAGAGAATAACATTCACTGTATTTTAATCTAGCATTGATCCAGCCTAAAAAACGACTTTAAGTGTAATTGCTTAATGTTACGATGCTGAGATACCATGAATATGTGACTGATAAATAGTAATACGTTAGGATCGGCACTGGGAAGCAACTCTCCCTGGCTGTGGGATTCTCAGCATAAGCTTTCACTGTCAAATACGTGCAGAAAATGAACATTAGAATTGATACTTTGGACTTTTATTTTTTCTATTCAGAGAGGATCCAGCAGACTTATGTATGCCTGTATTTTTGTGTGTGTGTGTGACATCTGAGATTTACATTCTTTTAAAGGATTTTATCTTTCCCTTTGTAGAGTCAGCGTGGGAGAAATTGTAACGAGAAACCAACAAATGTCAGGAAAAGAAAATTCATTAACAGAGATCTGGCTCATGATTCAGAAGGTGAGGTTTGATTTTGGGCCGAATCCCCACTCTCTACCCACACTCTCCACCCCCATAAGGAAGGACGAGCAGCACTTCAGTCTTACTTTAAAAATAATAAACTTTGAAATTACTGAATTTTACTAAGACTTTTACTGGGAGCGATTTACATAACGTGACAGTTTGCATTGGAGAATATTTTATGGTCTGTCACAAACTAATGAAAGAAGGAAATAAAATCTTAACAGTGACATCCCTCTTTTAATTATTCTTTTGTGTTTAAATGCCATTGTCCATATGACATATAACTAATCCCATACACTAAGATAATTTTAAAATATGCAACACAGTGGGACAAATTAAGCAGCTATATACACTGCTTATTATTTTCTTTCTACTTTATTACAAGTTAAACAATATAAATGATATGTATACCATTATCATTTTCATGGGTGATTTTGGTGGTGACATTGTGGGGTCATAATATCTTGTTTATAGGTCCTAAAGTGTTCACTGGATCATATTTAGGTCATAATTAATAAGTAAAAATCTATTTGGAGAATTAGGTTGCAGATTCCTTTGTGAACTGTTGATAAAAGGTCAACATATTATAAATTATTTTGGTTATATGGAAGCATTGATAATAAGCTTAAAATACTAGATGTAATTATCGAAGTTTAGTTTGCAATTTAAATGAGGAATACTGAATTCTGAAACTTCCTCAGATCTTCATACTTATTAGTCACCCCCCCTTCCTCCCCAATATGACAAAATACACAGTTTTGGACTTGATTTAAAACTGGTGCCAGGAAATTATGTCTTTGACCTTTGTTAACCTGGTAATGTAGAAAATTTTCTCTAAAAATTTGTATTTGTAGTTGTCCCTTTTAGTTTTGAGGCATTAAGCCTGAAAACATAGTACTTGGAGAATTATACTGTTCCATCTTTTATATAAGATTCAGAAGATATAAATAAACTGCTTTTCAGTCTTTTTATTCTTTCCCCTGCTACTATTTTAGCAAGAGTTGAATATGTTTAAGAAAGGTTTCCGTGACTAGGCACACCTTTACCTCAGCTTTTTTGTGAATCCTAGAGTATGTGTGTTGTTTGGTATCCTTTGAGCTTATTTAATAAGCCATTTATTAGAAAAGGGAGAAAAAAAGATGATTGACTTTATTATTTAGCTGAGTAAAAGAATTTCTTCAAGTGTTGCTTAATAGGCATTAAAGTAGGCAGAATTACTGAGATGTTTTAAGTTGAGAATCCTATTTTCTTTTTATTTTGATTCCCTCTCCCCAAATTAAGTTGTTACTTAATACCAATTTCACAACAGACATTTCTATGTAAGGAAGCCTAAAGATTTGCAAATCTTATGTTTATGTCTTTGACTTGTTTTTTAGAACTCTTTCAAGATCTAAGTCAATTACAGGAAACGTGGCTTGCAGAAGGTAAGGCAAAAAAATTGCTTTAAAAAGGGGGAAAAGCAACTCTAGCAGGGAGAAAAAAGTCTTGAACTTGCTGTCTTAACGTTCAGCCCAATTAATTGAGCTCTAAAAGAGCCACCTCATGTGTCATGCATACATTAGAGCCTCTGATGAGTTTGTCTTTGGGGACTCTGGGGCTGCACTACCCAGTGTCATCACAAATTACCAGGAGAAATTGCTTCCAGCTCACAATCACATCTGCTTTTGGCAAGAACTAATGCACCAAGACTTCAAGTTCTAAGCCTCTGTTCAGATTTTAATTGCAATTGATCAGGTTTATATTATTGTACCTCGAGAGACCTCCTAGAGCCAGAGCCCGGCTGGCTTGCTGTTTCCTTTAGAGCAGCGCATATCATTATTTGGTGTTCTGGTGGAGGACTTTTCTGATGGCAGAAATTAGTTTCTCTGGGTTCATCAGGACGGGATGCTTCAAGATTTAAGTGCAAGTGTCTTCTTTCCACCTTGTTCACAACACAGAACGTTAGGTGTGTATCCAATACTGAGGAAATCTATGGATTTAAGATAAATCTTTGGGGGATTTGGGAATTTTTCACTTGTTTTTTATGTTACAATTCATGTGATGTTTGTTGAAATTGACCTTTGCTATTTTGTCACTTTTATTAGGATTTATTTAATATAGCAAGGGCATTTAAAGGCATTACTTTTATTTTGGATTGGGTTTTTTTTTTATAAAATGTTGTGGTGCAATCTGTTATATCTTTTACTACGTGCAACTTTATTTGTAGGAACAATGAGATACTGCTTCAGTAAAGCTTTAAACAACTTCAGAAATGCCTACTGTTGAGGGATCTTTGTTGGCATCTATAATCTAAAATTTTTCTTTTGGATTTGGCAAAATAAATGTGACATTAATTTTATGATGTGTTTTGTGGGGAATGCAAAGAAAAAATTATAGTTATTTAAGCATTGAGGATAACTTGTTATTTGTGTTTACATTATATGGGAAATACATAATTTTGGGAACAGATTTTTAAGATGGTTGAAAGGAGAGAGAGGGTCTCTATGGAACTGAAGTGTTGCTGTAACTACTTTGAGGCAGACTGATGTGTTTTGTCGGGCGGTCTTGTATGCAGTTGATCAAGTTGCTGTTAGCATGTAAAATAAGTTTCTTTGTTTTGCTGATATTGTAGTTCTCCAAAGAGTTTTTGCAATCTTTATGAATCTTTTAAGTTAAATAGCTTTCCTAATAGTCCTTTACACGAGTGATTGTATTTCTATGTTAATGAAAGGTAAGTATTAGTGAAAGTTTTAAATTATATTAATAGGTCATTTTGCTTGTCTCTGTAAATGAAACCTATTGCAGTAGATTACTTATTATTGCAACATAAGCCCATATATTCAAAGGTAACTTTTTCCTGAAAAATTTGCACAGAGGTTCTTGTATTAACTTTTATCTGTTAGTTTTGCAAAGTTAAGGTTGTGAAGACATTGCATTTAAGAGGGAATTTATTCACGTATCCAAAATAACTTAAAATATCTATTTTAATTGTTCTGGAAGGTTTTTGGTTCTTAAGATGTTTAAATCTCATTGATTCCAAGTCATTGCACTTGCTGGCAGATTTTGAATGTGCATAGCAACTCTGTTCCTGGAATTTTAAAATGTGGCTAATAGGCAAATTAGAATTTTCAACAAAAATAACTTTAGCCTTAGACACAATCAGAAGCTCCCAAGAAAACTTTTCTAAGACATGTAAATGAGCAAGTAAGCTTACTGGGTTTCCTTTCATTGCTGTTCGAGACATTGTCTAGTAGACCTTGAAGGATTTTCTTTTTTTATGTGTTTTTTTTTTTTTTTTTACTTTTGATTTGTTTTGTGTTTTGTAGCTCAGATAAGTGATTTGAGTAATTTATTCAAGTTTATATTTTAAAACTCTGCATGGAATATTTTTACCCATGATTGTTAACATACCTGAAGATTTAACAAAACCTGAAGATTTAGCTTTACATAAAATAAACCTGGAAAATGACCCATGTATTTGGAGAAACATGGAATTCTGCTTAGAAAAGAATTCATAAACTTAATCAAGTTCAGAAATTAATCTTGAGTGTTTAATTGAATACACAGGTGGGCAACTATTTACAAACTATGATAAGATTGCATTGTAGAATAATTTAAACATTTTTGAAATACTTCACCTAATCATGATATAAGCAAAAGGTTGTGATTGTTATTTTTAGAAATCTAATAGTGAGACAAATTTTTTTTTACTGTTAATAGAGCCCACATTTATTTTCCTTTTAACAATTAAATATAACTATTTTGCACTAACATTTTAACTTAATTTATTCCACATCTTGAATAATATTAGCTAAGAAGAGATCCCAAATTTGCCCAAGTTTATTTGTAGCTAGATTTATCCACTTATGTCCTCCTGGGCATCCAGAAATTAAAACATTGCCACAGTGGCAAACTATGAATTGTCTACATATTTCTTTTCATAATGATCCATAGCCGAGAAAGTGACCATGGAATTTTAAGGCATCTTGACCCTTTTAAAAAAGATCTTTGGCAATTAACCAAGTTTTTCCCATGACTTAGAATACCACTGGGAAGTTAAACAGGTCTAAAAATCTTATTAGACATGAGAGTCAAGTTAGTTGTTATATGTGATAAGATAATCATGTTTTTAAACAGTTATCAGTCTTTAAATATTTGAGACATGATATATCTTAGAATGTTTATTTTGTTTTTTCTGTAAGAATTTTCCTAAATGAGATGCAAAATGCAACATATGAATTAGGCATGGGTAAATCATTATGGATTATGAAATGTGTTGTATCTCTAAGGGGAAGTAGAGATAGGTAAAGCAGGACTATTTGAGGGTGGGAGTGGAACCGGTATTTTCAATTCACTAAAGTCCTCTCTAACAATACACTTGCGTTCTCCCCCAAAATTAGTTTCCATACAAGAATCTGAAATATGTTTGTGAAGAATATAACTTCACATTAATATCACTTTTCAAGTGCTAGCACTGCAATTTAAAGGTTTTTAACATATATACCATAACTTAAAATAATCATCTTATTCTGAAGAAAATTGGAAAGCTAATGTTTTCAGTGACCACACTAGCAGTTAAAAAAAAAAATCATAGAATATGCCTACTTTAAACTTTGCCATACGTACTTTATTCTGTAATTTTACTGTATGCAATTTTTATTGAATCATCATCTTTTAAATTAAGTTGCTGTTGACAGAAAGACAATTGCAGTTATTTGATTCCACGAAATAATGAGTTCAAATATCAATTCTATCAAGGTCATGCTAACGTCTTATTCTTAACATGTTTTAAGTAGTGCTTTGGTGACGGGTGTTCTAAAAGGTGTGGGTGGGACAGAAATAAAAAGATATAAAAAATTGAGTTAAAAAAGGATTATTGGATTCTTCTAAACTTGCTTATGAAAGCTTACCTACTAACATAACTTAAAGAGAAGTAATACATTTCAGTATTTATCTAATGTAAATACATAGCTACTTTTGACTGTTATTTTGTTGTCAGTCTAGTTGTTCTTACCTTTTCATCAATAATATTAAGGAAAAAGTGAACAATGATCTGCTGCCATCAGGGTAAATGTTTTTCAGTGGTATTGTGTTAAGTCAAGTCTCATGCTGCAGCCACACTTGTAGTCAGTTTTAGCTCCAAGAACATCCCTTCTACACCAAAGGTTATTGCCTTTTGCAAATAAGGTTTTTTCCCTTTTGGTTTTATGTGAACTTCAAATAATAGTCGGGCTGACTTAAAAGTAGAGATGTCACTTTCTCCTCTATTTGCTAATGCTAAATTTGTTTTCAAAACCGTTTTTTCTAATGTTTCTTAAGTAATATGAGCTATTGTTCCTCGCTATGTGTAATGTAATCCACAATACACAGTAGTCATAATGCACTCATTTTTATTTTTCAAAACTTCGGTTTCTTTTTAAAATGGAACATAAAATTAGATATGTGCTCATGAATTTTTTTTTCCCCATGTGGAGATGCAGTAAGGAATTGAGGCTTTGAAAATTACATTATTATATGTGATTTACATAAAGCAGGAATGGAGAATTAAGCATTAAATTACAGAAGTCCATACAATTTCTTAGAATTGAGCAACAGTTATCTTGTGTGTGTGTGTGTGTGTGTGTGTGTGAGAGTGTGTGTGTGTGTCTGTGTGAGGGGAGGCTACCACCCTCTTTTTCTTGTACCAGGAAATACTCTAAAATATGAAAGAAAGACTTCTCATTTGGACTTGATTTAAAGATAGCAGGTAGAGTGCTTGTATTTTATTTCTAAATATTAATAGGAATTATATAAATATTTTTTCATTTATGGTCAATTTACAAAACAGAATTTTTTTTAAAGTAGAAAAATTGAATTTCATGTAGCGTAGTATAGTTTTCCCAGAGGGTCCTAATAAATGTTAATGAAATATTGCTGAGTTTTTCTAGTTTAGTTACAGGAAATGTGTAATTTCTTGCATTTCATAGTATAACTTTATTCCCTTTGACTTGTGTACAGTCATGTATCAAAAATAATAATAATAGAGTCAGACTTGTGTAGCATTAGAGAAAATATTTGGCTGGGAGCAACAGCTAGTTGGCTCTGAAGCTTCCTTTAAGTTTTGAAGTCACTGCAGGTCAATTTAGTTAGGAATTGAAGCTGATTTGAGGCTCAAGACAACTAAGACTTACTGTTTTCTTTCTTTTAGAGGGTATAGAAAGAATGTCTTTATCAAGTATCAAAGGTGTTTCTATCATAAGGAAATAGCCCCCTTTTTTGTCAGTTTAAATATGTTTATGCTTCTGCACTAATTAATCCTTTACACTGGCACAATCATTTTAATGTTAAAAGCGGATGTGGTATAAAACCAGGCTTAGCGGACTCATGATTATTTTATTCCATGGCTTGAAGCTTCATTTTAGGATTAAACAGAATACCACTGTACGATGGCTGATTTTCTTGGTTTGCTTTTATTTAAAATAAAATTTAAATTTCTCCAGAGAAATTTGTTTCTGACCCTTTGATTTAAAGTAAAATACTACAAAGTTTAGCAAAAATCTAATATAGTCTTATGATCGAACGTTTGAATGATAGGCAAAAAAAGAAGGCATTTCTTTAATGGTTTTCCTTCCTTCTTCCCTTCCTCTCTACCTTCCTTCCTTCCTTAGTCAGCAATTCCTCAAGACAAGCAGGCAGAATTGGAGTTCTGCCTCCATTCACAAAAAACAGTCCAGCATGAGCCATGTGGCCCAACCGCAATCTTTTCATGTCACACCCTTCCAGAGAGCTAAAGCAAGTAAACTTGAACTTGCAATATAAACACACCAATTTTATTGCTCTGCCTCAAATAGAACTTAGATCCATTAAGGAACACATTTAAACATATGACAAGTTTACAAAGTTAAATATATATATATATATATATATATATATATATATATATATATTTAACTTTGTAAACTTGTCATATGTTTAAATGTGTTCCTTAATGGATCTAAGTTCTATTTGAGGCAGAGCAATAAAATTGGTGTGTTTATATTGCAAGTTCAAGTTTACTTGCTTTAGCTCTCTGGAAGGGTGTGACATGAAAAGATTGCGGTTGGGCCACATGGCTCATGCTGGACTGTTTTTTGTGAATGGAGGCAGAACTCCAATTCTGCCTGCTTGTCTTGAGGAATTGCTGAGGAGATCAGCTGTCTCATTCACTGGCAGAAAGAATGACTCATACATCTTCCGCCTTGTTTGGCTCCAGGTCATTGTTACAGTGGATAGAACTGGTTTTAATTAAATATTAACCCCTTTTATACTTGACATTTGTTTTATTTGTAATTTTTCCACTTTTTTCCCTAGCTTTAAAAGAAAACTCAACAGGCACCTAGTTTGTAAGAATAAAGGGGTTTTTACCTGCCTGCAGCCAACCTTGGAAAATTTTTAAACTCTCACCTTTTCTGGAGTAATGATTATTATTTTACCTGTAAGTTAAAAATTAGCATAAAATAAAGGCAAGATATATTTAAAATTGCTCACCCCAAGGCAATGTTAGTTAGGGAGGGGATAATAAGATAAAAAACAAGATTTGGTGATTCCGTGACTAGGTAATGATTAATATTTTTATGAATTTCTTTCCCATAATATGTATTGCTATGCAGTAAAAAGAGAGAAAATTAAAAACAAACAAACAAAAACCAACTTTGGGTAATAATCTAGGTAAAACAAGCAGCTGAGAATGCAGATACTACCCTTTTAAAGCCGAGATCCTGAGACTTGATGGCAACTTGTCTATTAACATGCAATGAACTGATAGAGCTGTTCCAGCTATTACCAATAAAATCCACATGCTTAAGCTTCTTGAAAGCCTTTTATTGGTCTTTTGGTATATACTTTCTCTCCTTCTCCTTTCTTTCCCTTCCTCTTTAATTACTTTTGTGGAGAAGCATTTTCATTTCCCGAAGGTGATCATTTCAAGCATAGTTTATAACAGAGAGTAGTGAAAAAAACATTTTTTTTTTTTTTTTAAGTTGGCCTCTGTTGTTAATTTTCAACTTTGGAGTTGGTATGGCTTGCCACATATCTTCAGGCAGTAGTTTGCTCCTTCACAGAATTCCCGTGAATCGAAGGAAAAGACATGTATGACAGAAGTGTGGCAGTACTTTGTCATATTTTCCTTGCCTGGATCCAACTTGTGTTTTTAGTTAACTGCCTTCCTTTTACTCTAACTTGAAATTAGAGGTATACGTAAGCCTTTGTCTATTTAAGTAGCATGCGGCTTCATTTGGCCTATTCAGTTTCTTAAGATTAGTTTCTGTGAAAATGTGAGTCATATGTTTTTTGTTAAAATCCTGTAATATGTTCAGGCATAAGTGTGAAGTATTTATTCAGTAAGTTAAAGAGTTAGAACAGAAATAGCTACTCTTATTCTTATACTTTATACAAATTGTTAGTATGCAGCTATTTTCTTTATATTTGCGAGGTATAACTTCTAGATTCTTCTGCTCTTAAAGTTTTACCCTTTTTTCTCTCTCATATCACAACACACACCATACACCCATCAGTGACTTTTATTATATCACTCTTGCAGTGATATATATTATACAATTGAAACTTGGTCTTATGATACTAAAGAAAAAAATCCGGCCTACAGGCATTCATATCAGCATATTCAGTTACAAATACACTTTTGTTGCTCACCAGCTATTTTTAACTATTCCTGTAAAGGGATATTACATTTTTATTAGATTCTTGTAAATGTTGGCTTTTTAGAAGCACAGTAATTGCTGTGGTTGATAATTTTGCATCTCAATAGTTGTATCTGTTTAGCTATTAATGTAGAGGAAAAATCAAAACATGTGGATATAATGAAAAAAATGTGCAGGATTTGATTCTGTTTACTTGCTGTTATGTATTAAATATATATCAAAAACACTTGTAATTTTTTGTTTTGGTGTGAAACCTCTTTGAAAATGTATTCCTCCACTTACAGTTTATGAATCTATGAGAAAAATAAAGCTTACTGCAATGTCAAAAAATACCCTGTGTTAATAGGTCAGGGAATGGCAATGTACAAATTTTAGATTGTTTTTTCCCCCTCTCCAATAGAATTAATTAGAAGTAAAGATATTAAACTGGACATTGTAGTGACGGTAACTGAATGTAATTGAAGTACTTTTGCGTGTGTGACTTGAAAGAAAAGGGTGGAGGGTGGAGAATTGGAAAGAAGAAAATAACATTTCTTGAGTGACTAGAATTGTGTTTAGATAATTTCATTTAAGCCTCCACCCCCCCCAAAAAAAAACAAAACACCAAAAACCAAAAAAAAAAAAAACCCTCAACCCTGTATTTTGCTATTAAACTGATGAGTAAAATGAATTTCAAAGAGGTTAAATAACTTACCCAAAGTTACAAAGTTAGCAAGTCCTAGAACTATGGTTTGAAGTTCATCTGACTTTAAAATTGTTACCCATAGTATCAGGTGTTAGTGGAATATGAAGAGAAAAAAATGCTTCTTCTGGTATAGACTGATCAAATAGGCATCCGATATAACTTGAAAAAGTTCCTAGTTTGTTTGGTTTCATTTGGTGGCAAGGGAAAGAGTGTGTCTTTAATAATATTAAGCATTGATGTGCAGAAGAAAGTTATTTGAAAGCAGTTGAATGCCAAACTGGATATATTTTAATAATAGGCAAGATTATCGTACAGTTATTCTCTTAATAATATAACAAATATTATTTGACCAAATATTTGTGTTTTTTAAAAAATGATATTAGATAAACTGATACAAAGAAACTTTAATTTTATGGATGTTGTATTCTTTTTTGTATAGAGTTTAAAAAGCATTCCCCATGTACAATAGGTTTGTTTTTAAAAATTAATTTGACATCTGTTTTAATATTACTTGACTAGATAGAAAAGTTTCAGTATTATATAAAACTAGTAAAGTAATACTAGCTAATCAAATCATAGCTAAAGTTATTTAGGATAACTCATTATATTTTCATCAAATTAAAAGTAACCTAACTTCTATTTTATGTAGTTTCTGTGTATGTAAGTGTGTATATTTGTGTGTATTTGTGAAAACTCATTTTAGTAATATTTTGTCAGTTTGGAATAGGTTATTTCCATGTTTAAATCAACTGATGAAAACATTGTAGAAGTGAAAAAGTGCACTTGTATTTTGATTGCTGCCAAATGCATTAAGTCCTTGCTATTCAGTATTTTTTTTTTTTTCCTTTACTAAAAACAGGGAGGTCATTTGACATTAGGACTGATTAAATAGCGGTATTCTTTTTGTTAGTGCTGAATAGTTGCCAGGAAAATATTTTGCATAAAAAGATGGCATTTGTTTTATTGTTCATTATTTTTACTATTATGAGTGTAATCATTAAAATATATCACTTTATTATATATGACTCAACTCAATGACAGTTCTTTCATTTTAAAAACTTTGTAGCGTACTTTGGCCAAATTTAGGACAAATGTTTTTAGTTATTGTAGTCTCATTCACTAGAGACAAGAGATGGAACATACCAAAAGCAGACATTTTAAAAAAGCAGAGGGACCTGTGTGATAACTGCACATCACTTAAAAGAATGGTGTGGTTAATTTAGGTGGGCTGTTTAGGCAGTGGCAGTGGGTGAGGAGAAATACCTTTTGCTCCTTTCATGCAAGAGAAACACTGCAGGAAATAGAAATCCTGTTGCTTTTATTTTGTGTCTCTTTTATTTCCATCTGGCAGGTGGAATTCAGAGGGATAACTGCCACCATCATATTTCTGACATATATATGTTTTCTAGTTGACATCAGTGATTTCTTCTACTTCCTCTCCTAAGTAGTGCTGTCAATACCATTTTAAATAGGAGCTCATTGGCAAATAATCATCAGTTTGATCTCAGCCTAAAAAGATCTTACTTGACATTCCTTATGCCGTGGCAGTTTCTCTCTTAATTTTTTTTTTAATTTTTTTTTTTCTTCTTCAGCTCAGGTACCTGACAATGATGAGCAGTTTGTGCCAGACTATCAGGCTGAAAGTTGTAAGTATAGTATGACTCATCTCTCATATTTTTTTCTGTTTTTTCTTCTTTCTTTCTTTCGGTTTAGTTGGTTTCCGCTTCTAGTGTCTGTTCCTGCATTGTGCCAGCACCGTTTTAGCTTACAGTCATGAGGAGATTTTATTTCTCAGGCTATGACATCAGCAGAATCCTAGATCTGAGCAGAGCTCCAAATAGTATAGGCAAGGAAAACTGATTTGATTACAAGATGGTCCTGTTCTCCGTATTTGGTAAATATCCTTGGAGGGAAAACCAGGTGTGATCCATGAACGTGCAAGTATTTACTTCCAGTTTGCTAATATGATCACAAGGAAAAGTCTGGATGCTAGTGAGAGACAGTCAGAGTTAAAATCCATATGAGATTAGTTATTGTCTCAATTATAAAAGATTCTAGACCACACATTCCTTGGCTTATTGTACTATTTTATATTCACAAACTGTCACCTGCTTTGATTTAATTTTGAGCCTGAAATTTTCTGCTTCCTAGTTGCAATGACACAATGGAAGTAGCCATTGTCTTGTCTTAGGGTCCCTTCTGTGTTCCTTTCCCTGAGCCTTGCTCCAGCGCCCGACTGTCAGAGAATGCATGAGGAATGATTCATGGGATACTCACCCTCCCTTAATTGCAGAGTGAGCATTTTGCCTGTACAAACATGGTTGCCTGGGGGTTTACTGCTGATATTTATACTTTGCCATTCTACCAGCTAGCTGCAGCTATTGACCCAAGGAACAAATAATAAGGAAATACCATCTTGATTATGAAACTGGCCTAATGCATTTTTGTTCTGTTAGTGCCATTTAAAGCTCTAAATTGTTTCATTTTTTCAGACCATTGACAGTATCAGAGGAGGCAAAATCAACAGTAACAAGTGAGGCTTAATACGACTTATGAAATCCATGTTTTCACACCTTGATATCATAAATCTAATACAAATACCTATATTACTTCAAGTAACACATGTTTATGGGCAATGTTTTCAACTTTTGCATTTGGTATCTTAAATTTCCCAGGTGTGAAGGATTGTGAGAGGTTTCTTCCATATTCTCTTGATACATGTTTTAGTTCAGCCTTATTTATTTTTTAAAAATTGATTGTGGTAAAATATACATAACATTAAATTTACTATTTTAACCATTTTTAAATGTATGGGTCAGTGACATCAAGTACATTCATGTTGTTGGGCAACCATCATGCTATCCAGCTCCAGAACTTTCCATCATCTTCAAATGAAATCCCGCGCCCATATAACAATAACTGCCCATTCCCCCATGCTCCTATCCCCTGGTAACCACTATTCTATCAGCTTTATTTTTGATTTAAGAAGAAACTTTTGTGGCCTGTTTGATGTCAGAATACAGGTATTTGACACACATTTTCAAGAACCCTATTGAGCACTGAGACAGACCCTAATTAGAGACCCTTAGAAACACTCCCAAAAGGACCGTGGCTAAGGAAGACTGCTGTGGAAAGCCTTGTCTTCTTGATTAAAGTGTGGGAAGAGAATGGTCATATTTCCAACATTTTCCTTCCTGTGGGGCAGTAAATTCTTCTTTTTAAAAGTTAAACCTATCTGAATAAAATCATCTCACTGAGCCATTTTTACATCTGAAGAAATTGGTAACAATTTTAATACTATACCAAGTGTCAAGGTAAAATAAACTCTGTAGAGGTAATTTTTTTTTTTACTCTTTTTCTTATTTGACTTTTTCATCTCTTTGAATTCTCTTCTCTTGGTCCTCCTTGTGTATCTCTTCATTCCCTGGAGTTCTGTCCCCAAAGTTTTCCTCTTATTTTACATTCAGTCCATAGAACTTTCTGTGTTGCTGAAAATAATCTACGTTTTTGCACCCCAATAAAGTAGACACTAACCACATTGACCAATCAGCACATTGGCTAATGGGGCTGAAGAAATGAATTTTTATTTATTTATTTTATTTATTTATTTTTTGTCTTTTTTCGTGACCGGCAACGGACCGCAACCCTCAGTGTCGCGCCCGTACCGGACCGGGACCGGCAACGGGATCGCAACCCTCGGTGTTGCCCCCGTTCCTCGCTCAGCCAGTGAGCCGCCGGTCTGCACGTGGGATCCGAACCCTCGGCGGGAGCGCCGCCGCGCTCCCAAGCAGCGCACTGTAGCAGTGCGCCACCGGGCCAGCCCAATTTTATTTATATTTTTTTAAAGATGACCAGTAAGGGGATCTGAACCTGTGGCCGTGGTGTTATCAGCACCACACTCTCCCGATGAGCCACGGGGCCAGCCCTGAAAAAATGAATTTTTAATTTTATTTAATTTTGATTACTTTAAATTTAGACTTGTGGCTATTGGCTACTGTATTAGCCAGGAGAGTTCTGAGGAGCGATGTGTCTACATTGTTATGTCTGGCCTGGGTCTCCCCTCTGCAGCTCACCTGACATCCTCACCTGATCCACCACTAGGGCCACTATGCAAATTAGGAAAAAGCAACATCTTTGGACTCACCTCTGTAGCCCTCAGCTGTGCGTCAGTGTAGAACACCATTTGCACACCAAACCTAGTCTTCAGTGTGATGTTCCATAGACAATTCATGCTCAGCAAGTCCAGTGTTGAAATCATATATTTCCTGACCAACATTTCTCTTCTATTTCTGTTACCTTTCTGAGTTAGTGGCATCACCACTCAAGCTGAAAACCTGTGATTTATTCTCAGTCCCATCAGTTCTTTACCAGAAACCTCCAATTGCTAACCAAGTTGTTGATTCTGCTTTTTCAAAAATATCTTAATTTCATGGCCTCTACCCCAACTCTATTTCACTGCTTTAGTTCTCACCCACCTTCTGCCTTGAATCAAACTTTCAGCTGGTTTTCTTGCCTTTAAATTTCCCTCCTTCCAGTTCACCCTTTGCAATGGCATTAATAACAGCTCTCTGGCCTTGTTAATTTTCTCCTTCAACTTTCTGCAGGACAAAGTCCTAATTCTTTAGCTATACAGAAAATTGTTCTATAACACAGGCCTTGACCATCTTTTTGATTTTAACTCTTGCTACTCCAGCACCCCATCTCTTCTTTTTATCTGCATTTTAACCCTTCTAATTTTTAACCCTTCAGGTAAGGTGAGCTGTTTTATGTCTCTTTGTCCTCTCACATGTTAATTTTGCCTTAAAAGTTTTCACTTTTTCTTTGCAGTCTGGTCAACCTCCTACTTCAGACTCAGCTTAGGCTTTGCCTCACTGAAATCTTTCTCAGTCTTTTCTTGTCCCCCTTACCCTGCTGAGTTAGCTGGACCCTACAGCAGCTTGTATCTTGCATTTATTATATTACAGTATTTTAAGTGCATGTCTGTCTTCAATAAGATTGTGGACTTCCTGCGGATAGGAGCATGTCACATTCAGCATGGCTTGCGTGTTCTAGAAGTACAATACGTGAAATTGTCATTGTGATCATGATCAGCTTCTTAGTGCTTATTATCTTCTAAGTATTTTCAGAGTCTTAATTCCTTTTTTCAGGTAAAGACATATGATCATGCCTTAAAACAATATGTATGGTTTCATTCTGGGAAAAATTGCTGAAAACATGAAAGTTTAACCAAAATGGTAAAGTTTTATTTTACTTCAGTTAATGAATATTTGCAGTTTAAAAAATATGAATTTGAGACTTGTGAATAAAACACCAAATTTTAAAATAAACCTATAAACAAAGATAAAAATAAATTTGAAATAGTCTCATAAAAAGAAAGTCGAAGTGTGCTTTATTTCAAGTTTTCACTTCCAGAAATGGCTGTTGTTGAAATGACGGTGACCAGCTAATTTCAGTCTTCCCTGAAGAGAGTTCAGAGGGAGATGATTTAAAAGGAAGAATTGGACATTCAGATTAGATTCTAAGGTGGATTTCTGAATGCAGAAGTTTATGAGATATTGGAATGGAGAGGTTATATGATCTCCAAAATGCCTTTTACAAATATTTGATTCTTATGTGCCTGGGAATGCTTGTGGGCAGAAGGATCCTATCTCTAGGAATGGAAAGAAACGCCTTCTCCCCTGTATGGCCCGTCTATAAATTCTACAGGCTATTTTTTCATATGTGAATAATTAGATTTCCTTATATACCTCAGTGAAATAAGATGCTTCTGTTCTTGTTTTATTGCTTTAGTACTTACTTTAGCAAATGAAGGTTAGGAGAATGAACAACAAAATTCTGCTAAACATTGCATTAGAGAACATCCATTTCACTGTAACATGTTTAAATATATGTAGGGAGTTGAGAACAGAGTATTCAAACATTGTGAAAATTCGATTACGTCATAACACTTGGGAACTTTCCGAAAATTTTCCTGCACATGCTTTATTTTTATTTACAAAATGTTTCAATTTGAAATCTGGAATCTAATGATGTTACACTATAGCTTGCTAAGTTTTGAACGATGCTAAACTTTGAAGCAAGTATAGGCATTAAAAACATGAAAAAAAGCAAACAAAATACATACTTTTTACAAGTCCATGCCGAGAAAGGGATGAAATCTAAGAGAAACAGTTAAATGGTTCTAACAAATTGCTTTTAGGAATAAATCTTTTCATAATTCAGATTACTTTAGTATATGCTTTAGCCCAGAAGAAGAAGGCCTCTTGAAAAAAGATAATTCAAAGAGTATTTAGAACATAGATGAGCCTTATCTTTCTGAAATAGATACAAATTTTTATGTAAATTAAATTTTGGCAAATCATGTATTTGAAATTTAATTATATCAGGGTTTTTTTTTTTTTTGTGACTGACCAGTTTGGGGATCTGAACTCTTGACCTTGGTGTTATAAACAACACACTATAACTAGCTGAGCTAACTGGCCAGCCCTTACATCAATAATCTTAAATTTTAAATTATATGCTTTAACTTTAGTTTATTGCTAATCATTTTAAATTTACCACCTTTCATTTTCTTCATTATGAAGTTATGTAGTATTTTTATAGCTAGTTCATTTCCATTTGGTTATTATAAGTGCATTTTAGTCTT